CAATAAATATCTCATTATGGGTTTGATTCGTAGCGAGTAAGTTCGTCTCCTCCTTCAGGTATACCTTCACTTTCCACTTTTTCTGAGCTTCCCAAAACTGGTGTTGGTTCCTCATTATGGGCATTTTTTGCAGCAGAAGTTATATTAGTGTGCGTATTGAAAGAAGAGGATGATCTGTTAGAAATATTATTTTCTTTGCAGTTCGATTCGTATGTGCTTGACATATATCGTTTATTTATACAAATTGATGAGCTAATATTCTCAATTTTTCTAAAAAACTAATGATTTAATGGCGATTTGGAGATTCAGAATCTTTTATAAAGAAGGGTGAAAAAAAAAATTTTACGTTTGCATTAGTCGGGCATAAAATGTTATTTTCACCCGAAGGGGTCATTTTCTGGAACATTTTTTCTGGACCCTCAAATTTTAATGACCTAAGGGTTAGCTTTATCCGATTGAAGCCTGTTTATAATATTAAGTAAGTATCCTTCTTCCTCGTATGCTTTTTTTAAAATCGGCTGCTTGATAAAATAGACGCTATACCTTTGTTTTGTTTGCAGTATCCATACATACTATATTCTAATGCGATCGGAGAGAAATGCGACCGACTGGCCATTCTTTCTAGTACTACAGTTGATCTGAATATGTATATCTTTTCCCATAAGAAAAAGAGTAAGGTATTGCAATTTGGATTCAACTTCCATCTTTTCCTCAAATTCTCTGATATTTTGAAACTGCTTGATAACAGAGATGATCCTTGATGGTTCTCTTTATTCTCAAATCTAGGACTTTAAAAGTATATTAGTAATCGTATTATTAAAACTTGAATATTAAAAGAAAGATGTAGTATAAATTTAATATCTCATGATAGGATGAATTTAAACATCATGGTAAGATATTATGCATTCGCATGCGCTGAATCCGGGGAGTATGATTTGAACCACTGGAGAAATGATCGGTTGAAATGTACTATCGACGCGAGAGCGGTTTGAGGTTATTAAGGATATTTTTGTACAATTTCTTTAAAAAGATAGACGTTCTTACAACATATACATAGTGACAACGAAACTAAAGCTGCAGAGTATTGAAGCTGTGGAAAAGTTCAACCTTATTGATTGCGAAAACCATCATGGTCAAAGTATTGCAATATGATTTATGGAATGTTGAACTCTGGTTTATATTACGAATTCTTAGTCTCAACCACTAAAAAAGGCTATGAAAAAGATTGCTTGTATAGAGACAAGGATACAATTATCAATAGAATATTGAAAATCATTATAATAATTTCTTGAGTTCAATGTCGGCCATGGAGCTCGATAATTACAAAGTCGTGTACATACAAAAGACTCTTTGATCACAAGGATGACGATTAGTCGATGATGATTGCAATTATATATAAATACTAAGCGATCCTAGAATAGAGCAAATGAAGCTGGTTCCATTTATAAGACAAAGCTTCTCAAGAAGTATTCGAAAGTCACAAGTTCAATATAATTTTTTCAGAAATTACGTGACTAGATCAGAATTTGATTCTCCTTTTGATCATCTACCGAAACGTACTAAACCATTTGTTCGTTGGAAGACAACAGGCGTATTTTTCATAATCGGGGCCTTTTTGGCGTACAATGAGACACTTTTTGACTACTATGCTTCTTTTACTGACACGCAAAATGTAGATGAATTAATGCCGTTGCGATTAGAGTATGAGTTGAAACATTTGCCAATATATGAAAGACTAGCACATCCGAAGAAGAACGAGAATTGGATCAAATTGGAATCCTGGGAAAATTTGGACAGAAATGTTTTAGATAACCAGAATGTTATTACTAAGACGAAGAAACAAAAAGAATATAGCAAGCCTTCACTTCCTACAAAGACATTAGCTCAACCAGGAGGGATATGTATTAGACCTGTCATTTTTTACAATCCTGATACGGGAGAGGGAGTAACTATTGTCCATGCCGGTTATAGACTATGTGGTTATCCATTTATTGTTCATGGCGGAATTCTTGCGACTCTTTTGAATGAAACTTTTAAAAGAATTGCATCATTGAGCAATTTTACTACCTCTAACTTAAAGGATGATTTTATGGTTGAAAATTTATCAATATCTTACAAGTATCCGTCTTTTGCTAATCAGTTTTTGATAATTAAAACTAAAAGAAAAGAAAGCGATGGCAGTGCTGACAATAAAACTATTACTTTGGAAAGTGTAATTGAATCCCAGAAAGGTCAAGTTTGTGTGAAGGGTGAAGCAGTATTGCATGACACAAGCCGGGCAACAAATATTATGAAACAAGAAAAGGCCAAAGATAAAAAATGGTTT